CATATACCAAGAGTAAATCAAACTTTTCTCCATGTTTCTAACTCTTTTTAACAGTCATGCAATTAGAAACCAAATCCTTATCATTGTGTTGGAAGGTGACTTATGACACAAAAACGACTCAAAACACTCTTTTTAGGCTTTTCAAAACATGTTTTTCAAATTTTTTATGTGATTTTCGAATTTTTAAGTCAAAACACACTAAACACACTTAAAAACAGCAAGAAACAACATTTGAAGTTATGGTGGATAAAACCCTACGAATTTGCATCAAAACACTTTAGTAACTCCCCCATGCTTAAATCAAACATTGTCCTCAATGTTAAAAACCACACTAAACACAAACAAACATATAAACAGCAATTAAACATACTAAACATGGCAGAATGTATCTAACAAAGAGAAGAGTTTAGAGATGCAAATCTGGTTACGGAGTGTTCGTTCCATCTTCTCCTTGGTGATTGCAGTGAGGCTTGGATCTTTGTGATTCCACAGGCTTACTCTTGAACTGCGCTGCTCCCATCGTTGATTTTCCTTTGTGCTACTCTTGAACTGGGCAGCAGGCTTCCTTTGGTCTCCCCCGAAGGTCTGAGCGTCCTCCTCTTATCTGTTTCTTTGTTCAATCTCTCCAATTCGTATTGAAGAGGGTTAGAGGATAGCTCAGCAAAGCTAGGTAAGCAACCAGGGAATAGAGTCCAGATAGACTCCAAGTGCCGGCTGATTGCTTCTTTCACTTTGCCATGCAAGTAATATCAAGGACAAAGGAAAAGACAGGGAAAGAGCATGATATGAGATACCTTTGCTTTTGCCCTTGATGATATGAGATACCTTTGCTTTTGAAGAAGCGGTGAATGAATCAGCACATGTATTTGTGGTGCTGTTTCCTCCTGGGTCATCTGTACTCCAGGCATCTGGTATCATCTTTGGGGAAGAAGAAAGAATGGAGTATTTCGAAAGGCTTTGCTGGGAGTGCGCCCTCAGAGGTGAGAAAGAGTTGGGCATTTTCTTCAGTTCTGTCTTGCCAAAAAGAAAATGAAGGTCGACATATATAGGGAATTCAATAGCAAGTGGTGATACTGTTCTTTTACCGTTGTCGACAAACATTTTGATCCCGCAAATCCGGCTTTTTGGAATAGTGACGACTCTTCGATCTTTGAAGACGCCTCTTCGATAAAGCTGCACGCGTTTTCTGAAAAGCAGATAAAGCGTTGCCGAACTTTGCGCTTGTCGGCTCAAGACGTGTAGTTGCGATGATGGCCTCCACGTGTTGAATGCGTTTTCTGAAAAGCCGAGGAAGCGTCGCCGAACTTTACGCATGAACTTCCGGCTTTTTGAATCGGTGGACGCGTTGCCTTGGCTTTTTATAGAGCTATCGATCACCGCCAACTTACACACTCTGAAGATTTTCCATTCTTGAAACTCGTCTCCGGCTCTTTGAAAATCTACTCCGTCCACCCCTTCTCTTTTAACTTCGTGAACAATGGCTAGCTCATCCAACCCATCGAACCTTTGCTTAGATTTGAGTCGAAGCAGTGATCCGGTCGCGTCTCGTCAGGGTAAGGTATGGTGCCCGTCTTTCTTATCTTCCCATGGCCCTCTTACAGATGAGGACTCTGTGATGACGGATCCCACAACGGCTACGATAGTGGCTCGGAACCTCCTCACTCCCAAAGAAAGTCAGCTGCTTTCAGGACGGTCCGATGAGTTGGCCGTTCAAGAATCCCTGGCTCTGAGTGTTCAGTGCGCTGGCTCAGTGTCCAACATGGGCCAACGCCTTCTTGCTCGCTCCCGTCAGGTTGAATCCTTGATGGCGGAGGTGGAGAGTCTTAAGCAGGAGATCAAACAGCTTAAGTACGAGAACCGAAGTTTGCACGTGCTTGCCAACAATTATTCAACAGGCATGAAGAGGAAGCTTGATGAGCTTGATGACCGTCAACGGTTTGCAGCTTTCTTCCAGAGGCACCTCTTTCCTGGGTCATCCAGCGTTCCACCAAGGTTTGGGGCCTTGAATGATCTATCTTCGGTGCCTCCCGCTCCTATGCCTCCTGCTCCGATGCCTCCTGCTCCGAGAGTGTTGCCACGTAGTGGGGCCTCACGTACACAACCTTTGTAAAGGCTCCATCTTTCTGCCATGTTTAGACACAATTGTAATTTATCGAAAAAAATCAATGAACAAGAAAAAGTTTTATTTACTGTATTGGGTTGCCTCCCAAGTAGCGCTTGCTTTAACGTCGTACAGCCGGACGAGTACTCTCTTCAATCTTCATTTGAGCTCATGGAATGGAAAGGAATGTTTTCCACCACTTGCCCCACACCATGCTCGTAATATGGCTTCAACCGATGCCCGTTCACCTTGAATTCTACGCCATTCCTTAAGCTTTTTATGTGGACTGCACCATAAGGTAAAACGTTAGTAACAACGAACGGGCCAATCCATTTAGAACGCAACTTACCAGGAAACAAATGTAGGCGAGAGTTGAAAAGTAACACTTTCTGCCCAACTGTGAAGGTCTTGGTTGGAATCATTTTATCATGGAATGCTTTGGTCTTGGCTTTGTACATCCGGGCATTCTCATAGGCTTCATTCCGAATCTCCTCAAGTTCATTCAATTGGAGCTTCCTATGAACTCCCGCTGCATCTATGTCCATGTTGAAAGTCTTCACGGCCCAATGTGCCTTGTGCTCTAACTCTACGGGCAAATGACATGGCTTACCATAGACGAGCCGAAAAGGTGACATCCCAATGGGTGTTTTGTACGCCGTACGATATGCCCACAGTGCATCATCTAAACGTAAGCTCCAATCCCTCCTTGTTGGTCCAACGGTCTTCTCCAAAATTTGTTTGATTTCTCGGTTAGACACCTCGGCTTGCCCATTTGTTTGAGGATGGTAAGGTGTGGAGACCTTATGGTTGACATGGTACTTTCTTAGCAACGCCTCAATGGTCCGATTGCAAAAGTGAGACCCTCCATCACTTATGATTACTCTCGGCATTCCAAACCTAGCAAAAATGTTAGTTTTCACGAAATCTGCAACCACCTTAGAATCGTTAGTACGGGTGGCTTTTGCTTCCACTCATTTAGAAACATAATCAACGGCTAGCAAGATATAAGTGAAACCATAAGATGGAGGGAAAGGGCCCATGAAATCAATGCCCCAAACATCAAAAATTTCAACATTAAAGACAGGGGTTTGTGGCATTTGGTCCTTGGTACCTATGTTACCCATTCGTTGGCAACGATCACAAGACATACAAAAGGTTCTAGCATCCCTAAATATAGTCGGCCAATAAAAACCACACTCTAGAACCTTGAGGGCAGTGCGTTGTGTGCCAAAATGACCACCACATGCATATGTGTGACAAAAGCTTAGAATTGAGTGAAATTCAGAATCATGCACACATCTACGTACAATTTGATCTGAGCAATACTTCCACAAATAAGGGTCATCCCAAACATAGAAACGTGCATCATTTTTAAGCTTATCACGTTGGTGCTTGTTTAGTTCATTTGGAAATTGTTTAACCACCAAGTAATTCACTAAATCTGCATACCATGGTTCACTTACCTCAATGGATAGCAGCTGCTCATCGGGAAAAGTTTCAGGGATAGGTACGGCATGTTCATGCTCCTCGTGGATCATTCGGCTTAAATGGTCAGCCACTACATTCTCGCTTCCTTTCTTATCCCGGATTTCAATATCAAATTCTTGAAGAAGAAGAATCCAACGGATAAGCCTCGGCTTTGCTTCCTTTTTCGTGAGCAAGTACCTCAAAGCTGCATGATCAGAATAAACGATTACTTTAGTACCAATTAAATATGAACGGAATTTATCTAAAGCAAAAACCACAGCTAGAAGTTCTTTTTCCGTCGTGGAGTAGTTCAATTGGGCATCATCGAGAGTCCGAGAGGCATAGTAAATGACATGCGGCCGCTTGTCTCTTCTTTGTCCTAGAACAGCTCCTAATGCATAGTCGGATGCATCGCACATGAGCTCGAACGGAAGGCTCCAATCTGGAGGTACAATAATGGGGGCCGAGACTAGCTTCTCCTTGAGTTGGTTAAATGCCGAATTACACTCTTCATCAAACTTGAATGGCACATCTTTTTGAAGCAATCGGCAAAGAGGGTTGGACATCTTGGAGAAGTCCTTGATAAAACGCCTATAGAACCCTGCATGGCCAAGAAACGAACGTACCTCTCTAACCGAAGTAGGAGAGGGTAAGTGACGTATAAAGTCTATTTTCGATTTATCTACTTCAATTCCTTTTCCTGAAACAATATGTCCTAAAACTATACCTTGTTTCACCATAAAGTGACATTTCTCCCAATTCAAGACAAGGTTAGTTTCAACACATCGTTTCAAAATTAAGGTCAGATTATCCAAGCAATTATCAAATGAATTCCCAAACACACTGAAATCATCCATGAAAACCTCAATGATCTTTTCAACAAAATCGGAAAATATACTTACCATACACCTTTGGAAAGTGGCCGGTGCGTTGCATAAGCCAAATGGCATGCGACGATAAGCAAATGTTCCAAAGGGACATGTGAATGTGGTCTTCTCTTGATCATCCGGGGCTATCACAATTTGGTTATATCCAGAGTATCCATCAAGAAAATAGTAAAAAGCATGACCGGCTAACTTTTCGAGCATCTGGTCGATGAATGGCAAAGGAAAGTGATCTTTCCTAGTCATGGCATTTAGCTTCCGGTAATCGATACATACTCACCATCCAGTCTGAATGCGTGTAGGCACGAGCTCATTCTCATCATTCTTGATAACAGTTACTCCGGACTTCTTGGGAACGACTTGAACTGGAGAGACCCAAAGGCTATCGGAGATAGGGTAGATCACTCCGCAATCCAAAAACTTGATTATTTCCTTCTTCACCACTTCCATCATCGGCGGGTTGAGACGGCGTTGAGCCTCTCGGGATGGCTTAGTCCCTTCCTCGAGAAGTATACGGTGCATGCATGTGGTAGGGCTTATTCCTTTAATGTCGGCCAAAGTCCACCCTATGGCCGTTTTGTGTTCTCGCAGCACCCTCACAAGCTTCTCCTCCTCCATTGCCGTGAGACTTGATGAAATGATGACGGGCAATGTTCCATCATTGGCCTCCTTTATCTCAAAGATTTCTGACGAGGGCAGCAAATGTAAGGATTTCATTGATCGGAGCGCCGTCAAGACGCTACAATTTGAAAATGACATGGCCACTACCCACCAGATTCTGGGTCCCCTTTTCAGAGACGCAGTGCCGTCGTCTATCACTACTCTTCTCAAGGAGCAGTGTTTAATACCCCTGCTGCAGGGGTTCGACTGGTCGAAGTGGACTCTGGCGCGACCTCAGGGAGCCTGGCCCTCGACCACCACAGCCTGGGCCACCTGGGTTGATCGAATGAGCACATTCTTTGGCAAGGAGTGGAAGGCTCTTGGTATCTACGATGCCATTATTCTGTCGACCATGGAGATTGCCATGGATAAGGAGCTGCTCATGGCGGCCTTGAGTTTATGGTGTTTGGCCACCAACACCATGATCCTGCCTTTCGGCCCTCTCGGCCCCACAATCCTCGACATTTCGGCCATCCTTGGGACTTCTCCAACCGGCCTTCCCATTGATGCTGCCCTTTCCGGATGCCCCTCTCCTCTCGACCTGAAGGCATTATTCGACGAAAGGGCCGTCAATACGCTAAGCCGTGGTGATCGGGAGCCCTCAAGGGAAGAAGTTCAGAAGCTCCACAAGAACTTCTTCAACTACAACACTCTCATCCTTCACTTCGCCGGCCGAGGCGAGGAAGGCCTTAGGAAGGGAGAACACGAGGCCTTCCTCTTCTACTGGTATAACAAATTCAACTGTTGTACCAGGTCAAACAAATGCCTGGTCGAGAACATGCCGGTGGCCCAGGCACTGGCTAGTGGTCGCTCCTTGGCGTTCAGCCCGGCTATACTCGCCAATCTCTACTGTTGCTTGGTCGAGGCGACTATTAGCAAGATTGACCTGCACCAGAATGGACCCCTCTGGATGTTCTAACTCTGGTTGCACGTTTACTTTTCCACCCTTCGGTCGGAGGTTCCTGCCTTTCAACGATCGGCCGCCCTTGGCCTTCAACTGGCCTCTCGACCGACACTACCTCACCGAGCCGACGAGGTCTTTAAACACTTCCTCGGCCTCGATGTCCTTTCGGATGACGAGTTCCTGGTATGCCGGCGCCAGGAGTACCCTGCCTTGATCAGGCTTCCAACGCTCGCGTGGGCCGAGTCCGAGGATGCGGACATCCGTCAATGCTGGGGGTCTTTCGTTTTGGCTCGCGATCTTCCTCTTGGTTGCGACGCCCGCCGAGCCAGCTGGGAGGTCTATCACCCCCATTTTGTCGCCCGGCAGCTCGGCTACCTTCAAGGCTGCCCCGTCCCCCTGCTTGCCTCTCGGTCTCTCCTGAGTCGAGGCCGTCTTTCTGGTTCCTCTGAAAGGGAATGCAAGACATCGGAGCAGGAGTTTCAGGAGAAGTGCAAGAAATTCCGGCTCCGGCCGACGGTTCCTGAATCTTTGGGAACCGACACCTTCGAGGACTGGTGTGAGGAGTACACCAGTGACTTCTTCGGCGTCCCGACCGAAGACATGGTGATCAAAATCTTCGGCGACCGTCCCAGACTAGCGCCCTCGGCCCAACCTAAGGAGTCGGCCCAAGGTATAGTCTTTCCGCTCTGTTTTTTTTTTTTTTTTTATATCACTTGTCCTTGTTATTAATTACTTTGCTATTTCAGGGGGTCGCGTGTCGAGGAAGGTTGAAATGGTCGCCGCGGTGGCGAGGGCGAAGAAGTTGGTCTCCACGAAGAGGACCATCGCCACCTAGCGGACAACCCCCGCCAAACGCCCTCATCGAGAGGCCGAGCCGGAGGATGATGCTCCTCGCCCTTCTAAACGCGTCAAGAAATTGGCGAAGAAGGGCGACCGGGAGATTCATGTCGTCCCCAGTGACACTACAGGGACACCTGCTCCTGCCGGCTCTCCTTTTGTACCGGCTACCCCGGCTTCTCCAAACTCGATTCCTCCAGCCGTCTCCCTTCCTGAGACCACGGCTGATCCAATCGTCGCATCAGCTCCAGCTCCGGAGATGGTCGTGGCGCCTACCGTGGGGAAGTCGGCTGCACCTATCGAGGCACCCTCTACTCCAACGGTCATTCTGGAAGAGGTATAATTCTACTTCCACTCTTGTTTCTTTAGGTTTCTAGTCGTAACGCAAAATGTTTTTCTTTTTGTTCAGGATGTCGAGAGCGAGAGCGACGAAGTCCCGCTGGAACACCGTCGTCGACCAGTCAACTCTCCTCCCGTCCATCCTCCTCTGGTCGTCGAGGCGACCGCTCGACCGTGTCCTTTTGCGGCGGATCGCGGCAAGAGACCTATGGCCGATCCTGAGGCCACGGCCGAAACGCCGATCCACCCGCAGGATGAAGACCTTCCCATTCTTCCTGAGGAAGTCTCCTCGGCCTTTGTAAGTCTTGTTTCTTTTGCGCTGATTTTCTCATGACGCATGTTCTTAAAAGACTATTAAATGTCAGGTGCCCGAACGTTCATTTCACCGACAATTTTATGCGTCGACGGGCGTTGTCTATATTTCCTGGCCACCGTCGTGGCCATCAAATGTAGATGACCTCCATCGGCCGTGTGAATTGTGAAGCGGTCTAAGGCACTGGGCTCGGCCATTAAGTTCCCTGGGTTCGAGCAATGACCCAGAGGGCATGGCCGAAGTCTCTTCTCGGCAGGTCTAAAACAATCCGTTTTTGTCATGCACTATATCACGACGTCTTACTTTCCTTCACAAAGTTTTCCTTTCATGTGCAGCCATTGTGGGAAGTGGAGCTCGACGCTCTTCTTCAGAGCACGACCGGTGAGGCAGGTTCCTCTACTGCTCCTGCCGAACCAGCGGGAGCCATGGCTGAGGCCGAAGCCTTCGTGAAGCTGCACGAAGTCCTGTCTCTCACTGCCTCCCAAGCTCTCCGATCCAAGGGTCTTGACTCCGTTGGGGAGTGTCTTAATGACCTTGCCAGTGGCGGTTACCTAAGCACGGAGAATATCTCCTTCCTCACCGACCTCTTCGAGCGGACTCGGCAACACTTCCACATCTTTGAGTGAGCCCTACAAGCCGAGGATGACCTGAAGGTTGCCAAGGTCGCGTAAGAGGCCGGCCGAGCTAAGATGGAGGCAATCAAAGCCAGGAAAGCGAAGCTGACCGAGTTTGATCGCCAGATCTCTGACCTCCAACGTCAAATTTTTGACCTTCAACGGCAAAGGTCTGCTGCTGCTTCCGAGCTTGAGAAGGACTTCGAGGCCAACAGGGCTCGGCTGACGGCCTTCGCGGCCGGCGCACGGCATATCCAGCAACTTCAGTGCAATAAAAAGACGAGGCAGGCTGAGATAATTTTGGGCGAAGCGAAGTGGTTGGAGCTAAAAGCTGCCCTTGAGACTTTCCTCCCCTCGACCCCCTAGGAATTTATCATTGTATTTGTTCTCTTATTATCAATACAATGGTTCTTTTGCTATCAATAAAATGGTCTTTTGCTATCAATACAATGGTCTTACTCTTGCATTTCCCATGTAATTGGATAGTACTTTTTTAAAATTTTTCCATTAATCGGCAATTTGTGAACTGAACCCGCCCGATTTCTGAGATGATATGCCCCCTTGCCAAGGACTTTGTGAACGATGAATGGCCCTTCCCAATTCGGCGACCATTTACCGAATCGGGGGTCTTTAATCCCAACAGGCAACACAGTTTGCCAAACCAATTCTCCTTCGCCGAACGTTTTTTGTCTTACATGCTGGTTATACGCTCGCTCGGCAATTTTCTTTTGTGCTATCAATAAGTTACTCGCGTCGATTCAATTTTCTTCTATGTCTTCTAATTCTTGTCGCATTGCTTGACCATACTCGACACTGAACAAACTACTCTGCTCGACTACTCGTAATGAGCTTATACTCAACTCGACTGGTAACATAGCGTCGTGTCCATAAGTTAACGCATAAGGAGTGGTTCCAGTGGTCGACCGGGGTGAAGTTCGGTACGCCCATAATGCTTCATTTAACTTCAAATGCCATAACCCAGGTCTCTCTCTTACCATTTTTTCGAGAATGCCGATCAACACCTTATTGCTTGCCTCGGCCTGTCTGTTTGCCTGAGGGTAGTACGGCGTAGATTGCTCAAGTCGGATATTCAAATTTGCCGCGTATTCCTTAAACCTATCGGTCGTGAATATGGTGCCATTGTCAGTTATGATCGTTTCTGGTACGCCGAATCTGGTCACAATATTCTCCTTTACGAAATTGCATACCTCTTTGGCTGTTAAATCAGCGTATGATCTTGCCTCGACCCATTTAGTGAAATAGTCAGTTGCTACAATTATCCACGCGTGTTTCGCCGCTCCCGATGATGGCGTGATTTTGCCAATTACGTCCATTGCCCATCCCCTGAACGGCCATGGTTTAGTAACCGAGTGAAGTAATTCGGCCGGGGCTCTCTGCACGGGTCCATGAATTTGGCATGGTACGCATCTTCGTGCATATTCGATGCAATCCTTCAATATACTGGGCCAAAAATAACCATGTCGTCGAAGTAACCAGCGCATCTTTCATCCAGACTGGTGTGCCCCACAAATTCCTTCATGTACCTCGGCCATTGCTTGGGCAGCCTCGTGTGGGCCGAGGCATAATAGTAGTAACCCGTCCTCACCCTTGCGGTATAATTCATTTTGGTACGACACGTAATTCGTGGCGAAGACCTTCGTTCTCCGGTCGTGTTTCCCGTTGGGGTTATCGAGGTACCGTAACATCGTCTTTCTCCAATCATCTGGTTCTACCTCGACGGCACATACTTCTTCGGGGTCTCCTCGTTCTAGTAGGGATGGGAGCGACATTACCCTAGTGCGTATTACGTGTGCGCGCTGGAGAGTTTGCCGATTGATCAAGGCTGGGTACGATTGCAGACTTGTGGCTGCAATTCGGCCTAGCTTGCCCCCCATGAGTTGTGCTCCGGAGGCGATCTGGGCAAGTTCGTTGGCGTCTATGTTGTGGATTCGTGAAATATGTTCAAATGTGATCCGTTCGAATGACTCGGCCAGGTAGGTGGCGACCATGTGATAAGGCGCTAAAGTACAACTCATGCAACGAAAAATGCCGTTCAATTGGTTAATCACAAGTTCGGAATCACCAATGACGAGAACGCGGGAGGCCCGTAGATCGTGTAAAACGTGGACACCGATAATGAGGGCTTCATATTCGGCCTGATTATTCGTGCAGCTGAAATCCAACTTGAGAGAAAAATACCATCGGCAGTAGTCAGGTGATTGAATTGCAATACCGACACCCGCCGAGGTCGAAGTACTGTAACCATCAAAATGCATAGTCCAATGGTTATCGTGTGTGGTGACTAAACCGATGTCGACATCACCTCCCTCAAAACCATAAGGGGAAGGGTATTGGGCCAAGAAGTCAGCGAGAGCTTGCCCCTAGACGGCCTTTTGGGGTACGTACTGCAGGCTGAACTCGGATAAGGCGAGCGTCCATTTCCCGATTCGGCCTTTGACGATAGGCCAAGTGAGCATCTAACGAATTACGTCTGTTTGGGCGATGACCTGCGTAACTGATGGGAGCATGTAATGCTGAAGCTTAGATGCGGCAAAAAACAAAGCTAAGCAAAGTTTTTCGACAGGTGAATAATTGAGCTCTGGTGAATTCAGATTTCGGCTAAGATAAAAGATAGCTTGCTCACGTCCTACATTGTTATCTTGCGCGAGGAGACAACCAATGGATTCGGCGGCTGCCGAAATGTATAATTTAAGGGGTTTATTGCGACAAGGTGGAACCAGCACGAGTGGGGTGGAAAGGGCCACCTTGATTTGCGTAAATGCAGTTTGATGCTCTTCGCGCCATTCAAATTTGTCGGTATCCTTAAGTTTAAGGAGCGTAGAGAATGCCTTCATCTTACCGGCCGAATTGGCGATGAAGCGGCAGAGGAAATTTATCTGCCCGAGTAACGACTGGAGCTGTTTCTTTGTTGTCGGAGGTGGGGCGCTAATGATGGCGCGGGCTTTATTTTCGTCAACTTCGATGCCGCGATGGCGCACCAGAAAGCCGAGGAAATTACCGGCCGAAACACCGAAAGCACACTTGGCCGGATTCATTTTGAGATTATTCTTGCGCATGCGAAGGAACGCTTGTCGTAGATCATCCAGGTGCGTTTGGCGGCGTTTAGACTTTACCACCACATCATCGATATAAACCTCGACGATTGTACCGATTAGATCGTGAAATATCATATTCATGGCTCGTTGGTATGTGGCGCCAGTATTCTTGAGGCCGAATGGCATGACTACCCATTCGTAAGTACCAAGGGCCCCAGGGCAGCGGAAAACCGTCTTGTGGACGTCGGCTTCGGCGATGAAAATCTGGTTGTAACCCGCATGGCCGTCCATAAAAGATAGCAGTTCATGATTAGCTGCGGCATCAATTAGCAAATCTGAGATTGGCATTGTATATTCGTCCTTGGGAGTAGCCAGATTTAGATTACGGAAATCGATGCAAATGCGAAGGGCACCGTTTTTCTTCAATACTGGGACGATATTGGCCAACCATTCGACGTACCGAGCGGTCCTAATAAACCCAGCTTTTAGAAGCCGAACTAATTCTTCTTTAATGCCGAGTTGTACCTCGGTCGAAAATCGGCGAGGGGGTTGTCGAAAAGGCTTACACCCGTCCTTGATGCATAGCTCATGCTCTACGAGGTTTCGATCGAGGCCTGGCATTTCATGGTAGCTCCACGCGAAACAATCTTTAAATTCCTGGAGTAACTTACGGAGTTCGACCTTCATGGACGGTGGGAGTAACGCGCTGATAAACAATGTTCGAGGATCATCGACCGTGCCTACATTAACTTCTTCTAATGGGTCCTTGACCTGGGGCCGATGGTCTTCGAGTTCAGCCGGTGTAGCCTGAACTTTATCGAAAGAAAGAACGGGGCCGTTATCCACTTCGGCCAAAAATTCGATTAAATTGATGCCGGAATTTGGTTGCTTGGTAATGGCGTACCAATGGGCCAGCAAACGTTCCATTGTAGATGAAACCGCGGCCTGACGTCGTTCTTGCTTGGTGTCATCAATCATCGGCATTGGTGACTAAATCTGCCAAGCCTAGTCTTGCCGAATCCTGTTGGACAGTCTCGGGGCCGACCTCAATCACTTTCTGTACCGAAATTCTCGTCGGCCGCCCATCCTCGTTAAGGCCTTGGAGGGTGATGTAGCCGACGTGATCATCGTAATAGCGAGCCTGAATCATGTTGGTTTCAAATGGTTGGTTATCGGCTGGGTGGACTACGACCGATTTGCCATCCCAAAAAATGAGGACTTGGTATAGCGATGAAGGAATGCAACTGGTTTAGTGGATCCAATCGCGGCCAAGTAATGCGTTATAGTCGGTCTTGGAATCAATTATAAAGAATGCCGTCATGTGTTGACGACCGGCAATGCTAACTTCCAACGGGAGCATTCCTTTGGTCTGAGACTTGTCACCAACCAAGCTGCTCATAGTGATACCTGACGGAATGAGTTCATTATCAGAATGGCGTAAAGCCTTCATGACGGACATCGGCATAATGTTGACTGTGGCTCCACAGTCGACAAACACTTTAGAAATAGGAAATCCCTCGATGTGAGCCGTGACGTACAACGGCTTCAGGTGCTGGAGATTAACCGAGGGGGAACGGGGAAATAGTTTGGCCGAAGCCGCCTTAAGGCTGTCCCCATTTCGGGTTTCCCTGTCGTCGTCGTTTGCGACGAAATCTACTTGTGTTGTTTCCTCGGCAACCACGTCCCCGTCCAAGGAATTTGACTGGTGGGTACTAGGTTGGAATTCAGCTGGTAGGACGTGGACCATACTGATCTTCATATGTTCGAGGACCGAGGGACCCATCGGATCGTGGTCGTCGGCTTCTGCAAAACCAACCGTAGTAGCAGTCGGCGGAACATCCTCGATCGAACTTTTGAGTGCCTCGGTATGAACCGGCATTTGAGGCGTGTTGACCAAGTCGAGTCTGTTTTGGCTATTTTCCTCGACTATGTTTACTGTCGAAGATTTATGTTGGTCCTTCGTTATACAAGCTCGTTCTTCATAGGCGATACGGGCATTCCTCGTGTCTAGATATGTATCTAACCGTGTTATCCATTTTTCCTCGTCGGCCGTGAGGCTGAAGAGAGATACAGCCGAAAAAACTTCGAAATGATGGCGCAAATGCTAAAGGTCTTCGAATGAGAAGGATAATTTGGCGGCGTCAATATTTGTGTAAGGATCGACCTCAAAACCAAGCACCTGAGCCTCCCGTATATGTTGGAACCTAGCTTTGATTGCTGGGTCGGAAGTTTTCTGAATAATTTGCTCGGCATCAGGGCAAGTCAGGGCAAGTTAGGGCAAGTTTTCTGAATAACTTGTAGTCCGTACAAGTCATTGGCGGAATATTTCTTATGGAACTCTCGCATGTACTCCAGGGATTCACTAAGGAATGGAGGGTGTAAGTTGCGACGTATTTTGATAAACGGCTCGCGCGGTGGTAACGGAGAAAGTTTCCTTTCGGCCTCTTGTCTAAAGTATTCGAGAGGAGCT